CAGGCGTTACAAATACGGACACTCGACTGATTGAATTGATACGAAGCAAACGAAGCAAACGAAGAACGATATACACATGGGCAGCACTGTCAGCGTGTGTTTTAGACGTGGGTAATATCAGTGATGACTATCGTCTTGGAATCGGTATCCACACATAAAATGTCCAACTTACATGGAACAAACTCCATCGTGATTGTGAAACCTTGTGAATAAGATACTGTGCATGGCTCGTTTTGGCATTTGTCGATTGAAAATTTCGTTACCACCCCATTGTAACCATCTGGAATGAAAAGAAAAAACACAACTCACAAGTGGCCACGCAGGATGTGTAGACTGCTTGGTCTCAGCACCAGAAGCCCCATGCCGGTAGATATTGAACGAACATAAGCTTCTGCTGTCACCATAAACTGAGTGAGGATGGTCGAATTGCGAAACACCGTTTCCTACTGGAACACACGCAACCGAAACGCCTACTACATAGAACACTTGTGATGTAGATGCGGGTTTTGTGTAAGGCATTCGCGTTTCGCCCTTCGTCCGAACGATCCGCCTTGATTTCCAGTCAAATATATATGAACCAAATGCAGCGTTACAAACTCGCATGCCAAATGAGTGGAATTTTACATAGTTATGTGTAGTTTAGCTGTGAACAGATACTGTCCAGCACACCGTTTGTGGAACATCTGCCATGCAGTGCTTGATTTAAAGGTGTCACATTCAAAAAAACACGCGCTCAAACAACCATTCGGTCAACAAATCATCCAATCGCCACGCACCACTACGCTCTACCCGAACAACGAACTGGTGATGTCACATCGATTCCGGATGATACGTTTGCAATCGATTTGCCCAGCTCAGCAAACAAGCAGACGACGACTGGTCTTGAAAATGTCCACAGTATTGCGAACGTAACAACAACCCAACTGAACTCCGTTTCTCCAATATGCGAAATTTGCGAGTGGTGAATACACGTAAAGTCCGTTGAATCAATTCCAACACCGGGACCGACAAGACAAGTTCATATGTACCGGAACGCAAACCAACAAAGTGCGGTTAAAGCGACACCTGCGAAAAGATTATGCGTTCTCAATGAAACGCCCAACACATGCAGCATTCGTCGCGGTTGTTTGACACAAATGAGATGATTGAGATGAGGCAATACCGCTAGACTTGTAACGAGCTCGTGGATAGCGTTATCAGAGGCTGTTACCGCCCAAATCTTTAGACTGCTCAAAACAAGTTTGGCCGCAAATATTCACAATTCCTAGGATGTGACTCACAGGAAAAGTGGTAGCAGTGTTGGATGTACGTATAACTCTGTGTGGATAGTCAACTGCAGAGCATTGAACGCCCCATAGCTGGAGCGACCCTTTGAAATCCCCCCGACTACTGAACAAGCCATGGTGGGTTCCAGCTAAACGCTAATTACCGACGTCGCTCCACTGCCCACCAACATGCTGCCACCAAACTCACCCGGTGTTATATGACTTTCTTCACACGAATCCCGTATCATTTGGCGCATCCTCGGTTTTATATGAACACGTACTGTGAAATTCTAATTTTCCCATTGTCTTGCACAAAGGGACTGATCAATTTGCAATAGGTATCCATCTGGAATCCAGCATTTCTTGAGTAGTTTTGGCCACTGGTGCGAAAACTGCACACTGCGATCGCGTCAGCCACACTTGGATGATATTTTCAATCCCGCTCCGGAAGAACACTTTAGTCTAGCATTTGTCTCCGGTTCAAAGTACCATTCATCCTAATCTATTCTCTGCTATCTCTGATAGTTCGACATTCGTAGATGTTCTACCGAAATTAAGTCCAAATTACTCCACCGGGCAACACATAGGACACCATGGGAGAACTCAAAGCTTTCGGTATCATCAGTCATGCAGCTTTGTCCCAGTCTGTTCCAACCATGGGTGTGCATAAAATGTTATTGCCAAGATAGAGGAACACCAGCGACCAAATGATCAATGCATAGAAGTTCGAAAAAGACAACGTTTCGAAAGTCGGACGTTCAGAAACGTTCATTGTAAGCTCATTGTAAACCCAAAGGTAAATCTGGTGTGGTCAGACTTATAAACACGTGGTTGCGCATCTAGCCATCATTTACACATAACCAAATCCCAACACATCGGTGATTTCAACAGCCGTACAACAAGAACCTATCCTACTGTTCGACGCTTCAACCAAGTGCGCACGCCACAGATCGGTGAGACCCGTAGGCCTAGTTTATATGTGCCTCGCCTGAGTTCTCAACGCACACACAGAGCTTTGGTGAAATCGTGAGAAAAATGGCTCTTTGTCACAGTGAATGACCAAATACTTCGCACACTTGTGTTGTAGCGTTTGTGGACAACCCAGCTCGATCGGGCTGATAAAGCACACGTGATAACTCAGTGATAACTCAGTTAACGGAAATGCATCACTCACAATTATGCTGCTCAACACCAACTGTTCTTCATTGCACAGACAAGAAACGGTGCAGGATCTTCGGCGCCCGGACAAATGCTGCACGGTGCACGATGTCCAAATCCCAAACAAGCATGCATGAACATATGGTCTTGCCAGTGCAACAGAATTTCAACATAAAGCCCGTGTCACACGACTGAGTATGCATTGAACTTCACATGTTTTACATCTTATCATAACCACTGTGAACTTATGCCCTCATCGGTTCAACAAATTGCCACGTGTGAGGTGTATATGGCCAAGAAGATGTGGGTTATGCGTCCTTCACCCTGGCAGGGATCGCATCCGATCACGTGACGCTCGCCCTGTTAATGATTCTCAGCAAGAGCGAAAAAGCCATAACGCACTCCTTAGTGTTCCAGCACAGCCCTCATCCTACCGATAGGATTTTAACTGCAATGTCATAATTTTCTGCTGCTTAGAAAATATCAGTAAGTTGCCCAGAATAAAGAATAGCACCACATTGGGCATGGCCCATCCTTCTAAGAAACCAGCTCGCACCAGATCGCACGACGTGAACTGCTCGAAATCTAACTGTTCATTCAGAATATGTACACACAGTCCTCTAAGCACAATGCCAGGTCACCAGTTAAAATGGCAAACTACAATGGAAGAAAATGTTTCACATTCTTCGTTGTGAGAAGCCCTTGGTCGCAAACGATGTGGATCAAAGCTGACGATGCCACATCCTGTTCAAATTCGGCTTTGTCGCAGCAGTGAGTCATTTGTAGCCAAATGGTGCAGTGTTCGTC